TTTTCGTCGACGATGACAGAAGGCAGCTCGGCCCCTGCTCCAGCCGCCCGGAACCTGCTCGCTCTGAACCCGAGCGAAGAGGCTGAATTTAAGAACAAAGTGCGAGAAGTGAAAAAGCGATCTAAGAAAGTAAGCGAACTCCAACCATCAAAGAAACAGAGCGTGTAGATTAAAAGGTCGAGATCAGATCAATCTGTATGTAATCGAGCGTTTTAAACTTTACGGTGTAGCCACGGAAGTCATCGAGGTCGAAATGCGCTTTTATATTTCGAAATAAAATTGTGCGGGTGCTGTTCGGGGAGTCCTGTTCGGGGCATGTGTGACATGAAGGCGAGGAGGAACACAGTAGCAGCCTACGTGTGGCGTCATGTTACTGAAGCGAGAGCATTCCCTTTAAAATGTGAAGTTATCCGCCTCTAATGTGGGCTTTTTTTTTTGTTAAGAGTTGTGTTTGTTGTTTCATTCACTTTCTTCCTGATTCATTTCGGCAGCACGAGAGGCTGACCCCAGGTGTGATTTACCTCGGCCACATCCCCAATGGGTTCTTCGAGCCTCAGATCCGACAGTACTTCTCCCAGTTTGGCAAAGTTCAAAGGTTACGACTGTCCAGGAGTAAAAAGGTGGGACGTTTTAGATTACAGATGTGGGTTCCGTTATATAGGCATTTCCAGAGTTCTTGCATTGCAGTGCTGTTATTAAGCTTAACAGATGCCCTTATACAGGAGAACTTACAAAATATACGCTAATACGTAAAGTAAATACGGAAAAATCAGATACTGTTGCAAAGTAAAACCGTTTCATAGTTCCATAATGAATTGTCATCTGTAATCTCTAATATATTAGTTGTTAAGGTTTTCTTTTGTTTTATGCAGTTACTGCATCAGTTAATGTCCCTGTATGTTTGTGGTCTTGCTTGAGAATATCTACGCATTTACTTTTGCAATTTGGTAATGAACAAAATTAAATTTCTGTAAATGTTTAGTGTCGTTGGAGCCGTGGTAGCCCCTGACCGGAAGGTCCCGGGTTCGATCCCAGGTAGGGGCAAGCGATGGAGCTTGCTCTGATTCCTTCCAGACGGCTCCCAGGTCCACTCAGCCTGCTTTCCACATGAGTACCAGACTGGGGGTTAATCCTTCTGGGGGTAATAGACCCGCCGGAGCGTGGTGCTGATCACTTCACCTCCACCTCCAGTGTGGGATGGTTGAGAACAATGGTGGCCCTTGCCCCCCCATTCCCCATGGGCCTTGATGGCCTGAAAAGGGGACCTAACCTACCTACCTTTAGTGTCACTATTGGTCATTTAACAGAACATTTTAGTCCTTTAGCAAATGCAGTAGCTTTTATGCATAACGACTATTCCTTCAAAAAGGAGCACTCTTAGATTATGAGGAGCAGAGAGTGTATTTTTCAAACTGCCATTGTGAAATGAATGTTTCAATCAACTCTTCGTCCTTAAAGCATGTGAAGCTATTTAACCTATTACTCTTCTCAGTGTTCTTAATAAGGGAACAAGAATAATCATTCTTCTTCAATATACTGATTAAGGCGTGTGTGATCGAAAGATATCCATTAATTGGGCATTGGGCCAAAGAGTGCAACGGGGTCTCTGGTGTGGGAAAACAAATGTGTGCTTTCTGACTTCATGTCTGTCCCTCGATCAGAATACATTTCTGCAAAGCACATGGACAAAAGGATTTTAAATGCAATTTTAAAATCCTTGCATCTGCTTGCTTTATTCATTCACCTTGTTCTTGGTTTTCAGACAGGTGGCAGCAAGGGCTATGCGTTTGTGGAATTTGAGTGCGACGAAGTGGCTAAAATAGTGGCAGATACGATGAACAATTATCTCCTGCGTGAAAGGCTCATAAAATGTAAGTAAGGGAGGGATGAAGTGTGTTTCTGGAACACTTGCGGTGATTGTGTAATGTGTATGTCCGAAAATCTCTCTTTTAAGAACAGAATTTTCTGAAAAGTCTTGACTTCTGTCCTTTTAGCCTGGGAAGTGCTAGATTATAGAAAGGGGGCGGTGTCCTTTTGGTGCCAGTTCCATTTTTCTTACATCAGTTCGGTCTCACCAGTGTGACAGGTTATTGTGGGAGCTCTGGTTGAGTTTGAGGGGGGGGCACAAAGAGATGGTTTGTTTGTTTTTTATCCACATAGAAATCACTCAGGACCGTTCCACGCACGGAGTCGGGGTGAACTTCTCTGTGCCTTGCTCCGCAGGTCACGTTATCCCACCCGAAAAGGTGAAGCCGGAGCTTTTCAAAGGAAGTCAGACTCCGTTTAAGAAGCCCTCGCGCCCAGCGGTCGGCCGCTACAACAGGAAGCGCACACCTCGGCAGAAGGCGCAGATGACCAGCAGACTTTTACAAAAGGAAGCGGGTTTAAGAAAAAGGCTGGCAGAGAAAGGAATAGATTATGATTTCCCGGGATTTGTAAGTCCGCTTAAAACTGCCTGAATAGCTCTATAATAAAGGTACTGCCTGTGCAGTGGTATAGTCCTAAAAACGTTCCTTGCAAAGTCTTCTCAACAGATTATTTTCCTTTTTTCTTGCTGTCTGTCTGTAGAATAAAAACGCCATCTCTGAATATAATTATCTACACTACTCGTGCAACTTTTTGGGGCCCTTTAGCATAACTCGTCTGTTAAAAAGTGATATTTAATTGCTGCTTTTCTAGTTGTTTTTAACTAAACGTTGTTTTTAACTAAAAGTTGTTTTTAACTTGTCACTGAGCTAATGCAGGGGTGTGTGGCTATCGCTTAACTCTGCTTCATCATGAAAGGGTTCTCAGAAGTTGAAATAACTGTACTGTGCTCTTAATATTTCTGAATGGTATTTTGTAAATGGCTTCATAATGTATGTTTTTTTTTTCTTTTTTTAGTCTGCCCAAGTATCCAAAAAGAAGAAGACCTCTGCAGAGAATTCGGCCTCCACGACTGACAGTCTAGTATGTTGTATTAATGTGTCTTTTAAAACACGTATTGTAAAACGAGTAGGAAACATGCAAAGCTGTACAATTTAACTCTGAGACTTGCATGTATGATTCAGTCAACCAACTCAAGGCACCATAATATGAGCCCTTAGGATTGCAAAAGGTTTCTTCTCCCCGCATAGTGACAGGGAAGATTATAAGATCTAACCTGTTATCAATTTTGGTATGTTCTCTGTGACTTTTCCCTGCAACAAATTATTAATGTTCAAAGGGCATCCTGTTAGGAAGCTTTGTACTCAGTGTGTGTCTTTTTCTTTGTGTCTGTAGGATGTCACGCCAGTCTGCACACCAACTGTGTTGGAGAAAAGAAAGTCAATGAAAGTGGAGGACAGCGATGGTGATGATGAAATTATAATCAAGGCCACACCTGCACCAAAGAAGTCAAAAGGCAAAAAGAAGATGCGCTAATGAGGAACTAAAAATGGACTAATTTGGGCAATATTCAATCTTTAACCTGCTGTGGAAGTAAAAGATCTTCCCTTAAACTCTGTTTTTTAAATTGTTCCTGCAGGAGTGACTGATATTCCGCAAACAGGAAAGGAAGAAACCTTTAGAATTCATTTACTTCTCGTACTGTATTATAATAGAACAGTACAAATCACTTTGCCTTCATATTGTACAATTTGTATTCTTGTGAATGCTAGCAGTTGTATTATAAATATATGAGTTGTAATCAGGAGTGTACCAGTTACC